AGCCTCAAAGCATTTGGGAAGTATCTACTGACCTTTTCTGCACAGACACATAAATTAGTATTTATAAATTATAGCCTTTACTTCTCATTCAGGCAGCTCGCAGAGACCCGGAAACGGGAGTGCTGGTGACGTAATGCTTTTTAAACATCAACCTGATGCTGTTACTGCAGGTAACAAGGAGGGGCAGACCATTCCTCTCTTCCTGTAATGTCGCTGCCTGGAATTTGAAAACCTAAAGTATAGTGTTGTAACCACTGAGGAAAAGGATGTGCTTTTTTTAAACCATGCTTGGAAGAACTATTACTAGCACTGTTTCTCTCCACAAAGTTCTTTCCTTTGGAAGAACTGCAATAGAACAAGTCGTATACTTTTTTTAAATTATTTTGACCAAATTGCTTTAACAGAGACATAAATGATATATTGGGCTATTTCTGATAGAAATGGAAAAGTATTATCTTATGAACAATTTATGAGTACATAGGATTTCCCTATACATCTGGAAGAATAACTTGTTATTAAAGCAAGCCCCTCAGCTCCTATACAACTTGTAGAAAGTCAGCAAAACTATAACTCTTTAGCAGTTATTACTTCCAAACTGGGTTAAATGGGATCAAAAAACACTTTTTTCAAAAACAAAACTTCTTGGAAACCTCTGTTGCCTGTAATATGTTAAAGACTGGCTGGTTGGTTCTCTACAAATATTGTATTAAAATAAGATAAGAGGTCCCAAGCAAGATTTTACCCGTCAGTTCTTTAATTGCCATTTAAGCTTCCACTGACAACACCGTAATATTGTCATCAATTAGTCTCCCTCATGTTGTTTCAAACCTGTATGACTTGGAATATAAAAGATATTGAGAAATGTTTCAGTGTTTTGTGCAATGGAAGTCAATGGTCACCAACGTTCTTGAAAAAATCTTCTGCATGAGAAACAAATCCATACAGGTTTGGAAGGCCATGAGGGTGTGTAAATGACAGAATTGTCATTTTTGGGTGAACCATTCCTTCAAGCAAAAAAGCTGTAGCATATTATGAATACAGTCACTGTCCAAGCATGCAGTGAAGTGCCTTTTTGCTTGATTGGTTACTACATATTAAAAATAAGAAAACATACTCAAAAAGCTAGCAATATAATAAATCAAAAGTCTTGATCTGTAATTTGTCATTTTAACTTCATAAGCAAACAAACAAACAAACAAAAGTATACACGTAATGCCCAAGGTCCCAAATGTTCTTTTACAGTAAAAAAAAAAAACGTTTTCAGCATTATAAAACAGTAATAATGCTAAATAATAATAAAATCTTTGTAAGTTACTACACTGATTAGGTTTTGACCTTTGAATTGAGGCATACTCCAATACAATGTTGAATTATTATGTACTGGCATGTCATTTATTCTGGAAGACGTCATTTTAAGCTAAACTTTAAAAAATTGCACACTTAATGCTCAAAGTTCAGATTTGTTCTTTTAGAGTTTAAACATTTTTTTCAGCCTTTTTACTACTACTACTAAAATTATTATATTATTATAAAATCTTTGTAAGGTGCTACTTTGATTTATTTTTACAGTGATGCACACTACAATTTAACACTCCTATTATTTTGCACTGGTATGCTATGTTAACTGTATTTTGCATGCATGTTAGTAAGAAATAATTTAACTGTTTTTAAAAACAGTGCCGTGTCCTCGCGTGTTTGAAAGACACACCCTGGTGTTAACATTAGAGCTGGTCATTACCGTGGTCAAACTATTTGGTTACCCGTCATTTATTGAGAAGTCGTCTTCAAAGACACACCACCCCTCACAGTTTTTAACTCATTTTTAAATCAGTTAGTAACGGGAGGATCGAGCTTCCTCTATGGGTGGGGGGTGTCTTAAATCGGGCGAGTGTACACACGCACCGGCCTTTTCAGGTCAAGGTAAGAGGAGGAAAAATCCCAAACATTCCTGCTTTGAGCCTTTTGGTTTCTGCTCAGGGTCTGGGCTTCTCATGGTTTCTGCATCATGAGAGGCACTGACTCATGCCGAGCGTCTCAGACTGGTCGAGAGGTAAATCACTCACACACACACACTCAGTGTAACATGCTGCTTCACAGGGGTAGTGTGTAAATGAGAGTCACTGTTAACACACACACAGGACCATGCCTTCTCCACCCCCACCCCACCCCACCCCACCCACACACACACCCTTGCACTAAAATACTAACTCAACCGGTTCCCAAACTTTTTTCGTAATGATTATTGCGTATATCTGTTGAGTTAACTAACCGAATTTCGCCCTCTTCTGGGAAAGAAAAAAAAGGAGTCAAAGTCAAGTAAACCTGAGAAACACAGCGCACCTGTGAGGCTCAGTTCAGGTGAAGCAGTAGTGGCCAATGCAATACTACCTAAACATGCGAATCTCGACCCAATACACTGCAAAAATCATTTTAAACACCAATACATTCATTCTCGTTTGGGAATTGCGTTATTTTGATTTCAATGAAATCCACTAGTTTATTAAGAGTCACTTGTATTTCTTAGATTGAATTCCAAAACACACTGGATCTATTTTGCAACTTTTTATATTCTCCATAAACAATGCTTTAAATTACTTCCGCAAACTCAGGTGTGTTCACGGCCTTGACCTGCTTTACTTCACTGCAGTGAACATTTCACCCTCACTGCCATTTATTCACCCACAGATGCATTACTTACAATACAATTTATATTCACATATGCAAAAAATCATTTCGATAACACCTACAATTACATCAAAATATATTATAGTCTCGGACAGCCAAAAAAACAAACTCGGAGGAAAATTCCCACCGAGGTCTATAAACCATCGAAATCGGCATTATTAGAGATGAGGCACTGACGCCAATCTAAATGTAAATCAGTTTCTGGATTAATTTGCAGGAATTATGTCTTGAACATGAACACAATTAATACAAGAGCACTGTCAGATTTACTTAATGCACATAAAACACAAAAAGTGTTCCCAAACCAAGAACTTTATCCGCCCTATTTATCCTGAATATCTGCAACAAGGTTGGGGGAAACACCAGAACGCTCGGCTCCCAGTTATTCTCGCACAAAGCCTGCGTTACAGTACAAGGAAAAGACTACGCACTCGATTTACAGATGAACTTTGAGGAATTTCAGGGAAGCAAACTCCCTCCGTCCCAGAGATCCTCCTCACGCTCGTGCCATTTCGATTAGCACGGCGGCTAACTCCACTAGCCTGCTAACATGGAGAGCTGGCTAACTTTGTTCTGCTCCTCAATTACGAGGCCAAACAGGGAAAACCAGAAGACAACAAAGAGAGCTATCAGAACAAACGGAAGAGTTTCCATGGAATCTACCTTTGTTTTTGGTTTCGTTAAAGTCCCGATGTGAGGTCGTGGCCTATCGAAACGGGCTTCTCTATGGCCAATTTCAGATTTTCCAAGCGGTAGGAAGTGATTGTAATTCCAAACGTATGCTGCTCTATATTTGGGCGTTTCAGCCCCACGCTACGCCAGACGCATCTGCCCTATTTTATGAGTTCGCTTTCTAACGAGTGGCACGTAACGCGTTTCTCCCGACGAAGCAAAACAAAGAAGATACCTGAGATGAACAGATTTAAGCAGTCTTTTTAAAAACCCACCAATCTATCTCGCTCCCCTTGTTCACTCCTCTCTTCGCTCGTCGTCCCACCGTGAAGCGTCTGACCCCTCCCCTCAGTCCCCTGTGGAGCAGGAGTTCAGTTCACCGACACCGCTGTGGGCGGGGACACGCCGGACTTTTCAATATGCAAGCGAAAGAAAAAAAACGCAATATTACGCTGCAGAATTGTTCTTTAAATGTAAACGCAGTTATTCGTCGTCGTGTGAATTATCAGACTGCACTGTAGATGATATGCCACGAAACAACGACTTTTCGCTGCACCTGTGAACCTGCGATAGCCTATAGGCTACTTCATCACGGATTGATTGGAAATCTGCGTTGAGAGAATTCCACCAAAATGGAATCGTTTATTCGGAACAAAAAGAATATATACTAGGCTATAAAGAATGTAGATCAAATAAACATCAAAGGCTAAATACAAAAAAAAAACATTGCACTACACTTTTCTCACATAATTCAGTCATATTTATTAAAACACTTTTGTTTATTAATTCTATTTTAAATTAATTATTCTATCAAACTTCTATTTATTTGTTTATTTATTCCAGTCCATCTGTGTTAATTCCCTATTTTGCATATACACCGTTATTTATCTCTATATTTTTATTTCTTCATTTATTTAGTTCTGTTGATTTCATGATCCTGTATTATGATATGAAAATCAAACAAAACTTTTTAGGGTTCCCCATTTAGTGTCCTCGGATTGCCAGGTTATGGTTCTCCAACGGGTTCAACCAGTGTAAATAGTGCCTCAAGTGCCTTTTTAATTTGTACCCTGCTTGTGCAATAGAAAATAAAATAAAATAAAGATCAGTCATTATCAATAAGAGGGAAGATAATGTGCTGGCTAACTCTTTAGCCTGATTTCAGATTTAGAATTTCATTATTCTTTTAAGTAGCCATCACATTCATTTTTTTTTTAAATCATATGAGATATGAGGTTGGTTAATTTACCGTTTTGAATTTAGTGGAGATTCTATTTATTCAGTTTGATGAGAATCTTGGTGGACTTGTTATCGCTACACAGAACTGACATTGCATTCAAAACATATGAATTATTAATGCTGTGGTCCATCTAAGTCCATCTCATTTTGCACGTCATTTGCTTCCTGAGACTTCCTGAGGTCACCAGATGGATATGTCACTTGAAGATTTGGGAAACAGACAATAGATTTGATAATTACAGTAATTACAAGAAGAACTAACCTTAAAAAGGGATATTGGTAAAGGTTGATGAAATGTTATCTGTAATATTTAGCCATGTCAGACAGAACAATTAAAGAGAACAAAATAAATGGATAATTCCAACAATATCACACAATTAGTAACTAATTAAAGTGATTGTAGGCATAGCTCAGTAATTTATAGACATACTATTGGTTTCAATATTAGTAATATAAGTCTGAATTCAAAAGTTCAATGATCTATTACTTCCACAACAACCAACTCATTTCATTTATCACTTGAATCAGACTGACTCATCTGAAGTCATCTGAACCTTTCAGCGTGGGATATTATAGTAACCCTGAGTTCCCCACCCAGCGACTCAAGCTCAGCTGATGTTAAAAACTAACCTCAACGCAACCAGTCAGGATGGGAGTTTGTGGATCCAAGCACTCAGTATGAGTCAGTCGCCCTTCTATTAGCAAGTACAGGAGCACACAGTAGCTCCTGATAGGTTCGTAGGTCACTCTCTTGACCCTAGGGCACACAAAAATGTTCAGCAGCTACAGCACAGAGAATTCCACGTTTGTCCATGTGGTGTTGCACACTGGTGTCGCGTCACATGGTGTATTGCTAGCCAACAGGCAGTTTGTTGCCAAAACTAGCCCCAGCAAGTTATGGAGCAGTTCAAATGCGAATCAGCAGAGGCTTATCAATTCTCCATTTCTGCTTAATTGCTTATCTTTTTGTTTCATTTTATTTGACCTTATTATGCATCGGAAGGCATTTTTAAATGGATTATGCAGAAAATGTATTGTTTTACAATATTTCTGGATACTGTATTTGTGATCAAATAAATGCAACCTTGGAGAGCATAAAATGTTACAAACTTTTGAATGGTATGTGTGCCCACTTGGTTCTATTGTTTATTCTGTGCCTGCTTAGAACAGTTCCTGATGTTCTCTCTGAATGCCACAATTAAATCTCGGATAAGGTCAGGTTGGAATCCATGACCATTTCAAGGACTGACAAGACAAATAAGCAAATACTGGCAAAACAACAGAGACATTCAAAGGGCCTTATACTGGTTTGGAGCATTGAATATTAAGTGGAGTATCTTGAACAAAAATTTGGAATCAGTTGTGCTGTATCATTTCAATATGTGCCTTATTTCACATATAACGCAGCCTTTCTTGAAAAGGTCCCTGAGATACAGCCTCATCAGATATAGCAGGCCACCATGAGGAGCTAGAAACAAATCCACTATTAAGGCATTTTACTTTACATTCTCGCTTCTAATAAAGCTTCCTTCAGTAAAAACGTCCATTTCCTGTTGTCCTCTCACATCAAAATCCACGGACATATTTGTTTAGAACTGGAATTTGTTTCTTAAAATACACAAAGCCGTTCACTTCACAAGACGTTAATTGATGGACTTGAGGATTATTGTAATGTTTTTATCAGCTGTTTGGACTCTCATTCTGACGGCACCCATTCACTGCAGATGATTCACTGGTGAGCAAGTAATGTAATGCTACATTTCTCCAAATCTGTTCAGATGATGAAACAAACTCATTTACATCTTGCATGTCCTGAGGGTGAGTACACTTTCAGCTTTTTTTTTCATTTTGGGTAAACTATTCCTTTAAGACAGAGACATTAACTGGACAGAAATAGGTAGAGGATTCTGGCAGGTGACAGAAGTAAGATTTTGATCACAACATGAATACAAACTCAGCTGCAAAGACTGGTACACATATAGTTGCCAAAAGGTAGACAGATCTGATTAAAATGTTTAATTGAGATGACGAGAAGAGAATGCAGGGAGGTTAGGATCAGCTGAAGAATGTTTATATTTGCCAAATGTGCCAGTGTATGAAATAATTGATTAAACTCTGCATGGGGCAAAAGATGACTCAAGATGTTGAGCAGAGCAAGTGAGTCATGAGAGGGCTGGTTAGGGTTCTCATGGTTCCATCTAGTGTTTATCAGTGGAAACTACAGCGGGGCCCTCTCACCACTTAAGGAATAGTTTGCTCAAAAAAAGAAAATTCGCTGATAATATACACACCCTCAGGCCATACAAGATATAGATTAGTTTGTTTTTTCAGTGGAAGAGATTTGGAGGAATTTAGCATTTCATCACTTGCTTACCAATGGATCCTCTGCAGTGAATGGGTGCCGTCAGAATGAGAGTCCAAACAGTTAAAAATATATCAATAATCCACAAGTATAGATCTGTTTTGGACTGCTTTTGCTTGTAAACAGTGCTTGATCTGTGCATAGTTCTCTCCTGATTCAGGCCAGACAACTTTTTCACTAGTGAATATTATGGATAGAGGAGTCATATTTTAGCTTGAAGCAACGCTTTTAAGTTAAAACACCTTAATGATGGATTTGTTTATTACAAACACTCAGCTTTTCACTTACAAGATGTTAATTGAAGGACTGCAGTCATGTGGATTATTTGTTGATTATTGTGCTTTTATCAGCTGTTCTCAGCTCATTTTGATGGCACTGACAACACAGACACAAGCACTCTTTACTTGTACCTTTTACACATGTAATAAGTGTATTTTTATTTCCTTTAGCACCTGCATCACACAAAGACAGTATAAGCTCTCATGATCAAACACACAAAGCCTTAATGTCAACCCACAAGAGGGAGCCAGATGGCCACAAGATTTAATTATCTGTTCAACCAGGCAGGACAGATGTAGGTCAGGAACTGCAAGTCCATTATATGTTTAACCTTACCTGGTTGCTTCCTTGCATTCGCTTGCTCTGCATCTCTTTAAGTTTTCCATCACACAAAGAGGTGGCACTTAACACAAAGAGAGTACAAAATATGGCCAATTTCTTCTTTTTCAACAAATGGACAATGAACTTTAAGTAAATGTTTTATTTTGTGTGTTTTTTTTAGTGTGTGCTTGCCAATTTTTGCAACAGTAGTTACCAAAATGTTCTTGCAATAAACATTTTAGAAATGAAGAGTTTATTTGCAAAAATAGATAACGTTTAAAAATTGTCAAAAAAAAAAAATCATGTTTTTTATTAGCCTATGTAATCATGTTTTTACTGTGTTTAATAGCTGTATTTTTATGTTATTTTTTAACCTATTCAAAATAACCCAACTGCAGTTTGATCGAGATTAATTGGAATGCACAATGAAAAAAAAAAGCATGATTTTTGAAAATTGTTAAAAATGGAGTTATCTGATTTTGCAAATTAACTCTTAAAATTTTAAATAAATGTAGGCTATATTAAATAAACAACCCATTTTTTTTTACAGACAAAATGTATATTAATGGCTTGCAAATTTAGCTTAAATCAAGATGTCACTCAGTAGAGACTATTTTTATTTTTTTATTTCTTCTTAAAATAACTTATATCAGGGTTGAGCTTAATGAATGTTGTCAATACTACAATTTAGGTAAAAAGGGACATATTGGAAATACTGTTAAACAAAATAACCGAAAAGGATACAATTAGGCCAATTGAATATCATTATGTCAAGGGTAGCCTATATAACATTTCCTCATCTAGCCTATATATTGTTTCATCCATAGATATTTATATATCTATGGTTTCATCTATCTAAATATATATTTATTTAACTATATTTAAATAATTATTTGAAAATAACTGGTGTGGGCTGTAGTCAATAAATCTGTAACAGTAGTAACTAAACGTGTTCTCGTTCACTTTGGTTAACTGCCAGGCTCATGAACGCGCTTAGACGTGCACAGGTTTAGTAGCCTACTGTTCAGCACGAAACGGGATTTGACAGCGCTTCAGCAATTCCGTCATTCAGTGTGACAGAAGATTGTTGTGAGTAGATGTCTATATGCAAATACAGTCATTTTGTATGAAGAAACTATTTACATTTAGAATACCTGACTCATGCCCATAGACACTAGCCTATTGCTCAAGCTTGGAATGGAAATGTAGTCAAATCCATTTGCTTTTGCTGGTTTTCATTTAATTCTATTTGACGCTCTTTTAGCATTATATCGGATATCGCCTGTATCTGTTATATCTTTTACATTATCCATAAAAACGGTGGGCGAGAAAAACTGTTGTTCTTGTTAGAGAGATTAGAGCTCGCAGACATGATAATCTGGATTAGTCAGCTGTCCACAGAGCATGTGTGCCATCAGTGATCAACTTCAGTTTTACCCTATGTCACATTTCAAGAAATCTAGACACTGATGCAGCACGTCTTAACGGCTAAATCACAATTATGTAAGGGATACATACTGAACAGACAGCCGGTCATTATTTAACAAGAAAAAAAACCTCTTCATCCGGGTTATCCAAGACCCCCTCTTTACGTCAGGGTCCTGATAACCCTTTCAGAGTTTATTTTGCGATATCTAAATGTACATTTTTCCTGCTCGCCAAATAAACATAGACATAAAATATTGATTTAAATAGAAAATTACACATTTCTTTTTTCGTGTAGCCTATTATCTTTTATATTATTAATCAATAATAATAATAACACCTTTAAACTACTAGCTACTACTAGACTACTACTACTAATGTTGTTGTTGTATTGTTCTGCCATTCAAATGGCTTTATAAATTCGCTTCCTCTTCGTTTTTTGTTTTCTTGTTTTGATTGGACATTGACTGGGAATTCCCATGCCTCTAGCTATCTATCAATATTGTATTCTTGCCATAGATTTAAATGGTCCTTCCAGCTGTTTTTATTATTAGCCTACTGTCAGTATTCCCGGTGATCCCGAGAGAGTGCTACTGTAATTTGCGATGCAAGATAAATGTCCAGTTTAGTGGTGATTATGCAAAACATTGTTGGTTGTCGCTCAGTGCTGCGACTGACCAATCAGAATCAAGTGTGGTAGGGTATTGATACCCTTGAATAATATTTTTATTGATTAAATGGAATTGCACCAGTAAAATGTGACTTTGTCTGTCTCTTCTTGCAGTTTTACATAACCTTCAGACACATGCACAGTTTTAGAGGGTGAGAATTTTAGAGATAGGCCTACAAACTAAAAGGATAGTGGCATACAAAGATGCTAATGAATGTGATCACACAAATAGCTCAGAAGTAATACATTCCATGCAAACTTCATAAATATTGTCATGTTGTTTTCAACAGCAGATCTATAACTCCCTCTCTTGAGAGGAACATGCACAAATACGTGGAAAACATTATCTCTACACCATATAACCAACTTGCATAGTGTCTTTCTGGTCAAATATGAGCAAGCCTTAACACAAACAAGAGAAGTGGATCAGCATTTAGGATGATGCATTCAAGATTAAAATTAATTTAACAACATATAGTGGCAAGCATATACAGTGCACTTTCCTACACAAGTGGATAGTTCTAGAAGCGTTCCTGACCCTGACGGTGTGGATGCGCAAAGGATGCTGGGATGCAAGGGATCATCTGGGACGGGGGTGAGATACAAGCTGACTCTGGCTACAGGACTGCTGGAGTGCTTGTGTTTTGCTGGAGTCGTGTTTGGTTGGGCGTCTCTCGTGTTTGTCCTAAAGACAGATGGCTACTTCAGCGATTTGTGCATCAATGTGACAGACGCTAGTGGAGAACTTGGCACAGGTGAGGTCATTTACAACAGTGGCTTTTAATTTGTTAGATGGTTCACTTCATTTTATGCTTTTTCATTTTGGTCTGTGTCTACCTGCTTATCTGTTTTTCTCTTTAGATTGCAGTCTGCAAGATGAGAATTTCTCATTGGTTTTTACTGTGGCCTCTTTCATGAACAACTTTCTCACTCTGCCCAACGGATTCTTCTACGACCATTTTGGCACGATGGCAACACGATTTTTGGCTATGTGAGTTATTCCCTCGTAGGATGTAAAGCAGAGGTCAGGCAAGAATTAGCAGAACTGCTGTGTCTCTCTGCGGTAGAGTCAAGAAGTTTATCTGATTGTGTGTGGGGTGTGCTTTAAGCAGATAGTAGAAATCAACGTGGGCATTTGACTGGGCTCCAAATACAGGGCTTTGTGCACTGCAGCCATGAAGTAAAAACAGCCCCTAAGTAAAATTAGTTAAGACTGCCAGAATATTTGCAAATGTAAGTTGTTGTGTAATGTTAGGGACCACTTGTTCTATACAGAAAATATACATTTATAAAAAGAAAAACACTGAACCATCACAATAATATTTGAACAGTTAAGTGTTTCCTAATTGATTTTGAATGATATTTTATTTATACAACTTTGTATAATCATTATTTTGTAGATTTCTTTATACCACTGGCACTCTTATTGTGGCATTGTCCAATAAAGGTAAAGACAGAATTTTTTTATTAAAAATTGCATCACACACACATCATGGGCATATTTGATATGACTAATTTTCCTTTCTTTTCATTGAAACAGCTCTCTCTATCTTGCTTTTTCCTGCTCTGTCCTTCATAGCTGTCGGAGGTATTTTATTTCTAATGACAAATATGCAGGTATGTTCATGAACGATTATATTTCATACATGCAATACATCAAGGATATGATCAATTGCTTGCATTACTTGTCCTCATTATAGGTGGGGAACCTTTTTGGCTCTCATAGATCAACAATTATTACAGTCTATAATGGGGCCTTTGACTCTTCGTCAGTTATCTTTCTTATCATCAAGGTAAAAACCAAACACACACACACATATACAGTATCTCACAGAAGTGTCAATATTTTGTGCGCCCACCATTATTTTCCAGCACTGCCTTAACCCTCTTGGGCATGGAGTTCACCAGAGCTTCACAGGTTGCCACTGGAGTCCTCTTCCACTCCTCCATGACGACATCACGGAGCTGGTGAATGTTAGAGACCTTGCGCTCCTCCACCTTCTGTTTGAGGATGCCCATGCTTGGCCAATCCATCACCTTTACCCTCAGCTTCTTTAGCAAGGCAGTGGTCGTCTTGGAGGTGTGTTTTGGGTCGTTATCATGTTGGAATACTGCCCTGCGGCCCAGTCTCCGAAGGGAGGGGATCATGCTCTGCTTCAGTATGTCAC